TTACTATTGTCATTTTCCTCTACTTCTTTTGTATGTTTGTCACTCCCTTGTGACCTGCTATTTTGGGGTGCCTTGATAGTATAAGCAGACCTTGTGCTGTTGAAGCTAGAGAGGTGAGCAGCCTAAGTCTGATTCCCTGTAAAGACTTCTCTGTTGACACCCACCCCTTGGCGCTCATATGACCTTATGCAGTTGCGAACGCCGTAAAACTTTCTACTATATAAAAAAAGAAACGATTCTGGATGTTTTGACTTTCTAGCATGTCTTATTCTGAAAAAGAGTGTGAGGCGTTGTTTTTGTTAAACAGTGTAAAAGGAAAGGTGGAGCTCGTGAAAAAGCAGCCAAGCTGTCATATTTTCATGGGTGGGTGGTTGGTACTTTGATGCGGTGTACGCCTACCAATTTTATTTTCTTTCGGATTTGTCGAAAACTTCGACTGTACACGAAAAAAATTACTTGCATGAGGCGTTTTTCCAGCTCGCATCGCTCGTCTTCCTCATGTCTGTGGAGAAAGTGACTATCCCCACGGACACAAAGCTTTAGTGTGGACCGACGGCTTAGCCGCCATGCTGTCCCTGCGCCTGGCCAGGGTGGAAGAGGAAACTGCGGGTTGTAGCGTTATGTTTTCCCAGGATTACCCTTGGGCATGGTGCCGCGGAACTTTTGGCCATCGCCTTGATCTCTTACCGTAGTTCCGACTGAACCACCTGGGTGGCCACAGTCCTTTTTTAGGCATTCGGTTGCTAAGATTTGGCTTCGATTTTCCTCACGTCGCTGATCTTGTCCTTTTTCTGTTTGTTTTCATTAATCTTCTAGTTTATTTATAGATGATTTGCCAGGTTTAATAGGGATTTTTGGTAACATGGTTTTAATGGTAGTGGTTCAGCAAAATATTTGCATTATTTTGTGGGGCCGGCTTTTGAAAAAGGGGGTCAGTCTGCGTTCCTTTTTGCGCTCTCTCCCTTTTTGTGACTGTTATACCTGTTTAAATCCTTTCTTGTGCCTTGTAATGGAGCTGGTTAGAATGGTAAATATGCGGGGGGAACTTTTTAAGTCTTTTTCTTTTCGAGTTCTGAATTTGTCGATTTGCTTCGCGTTGCCTAAACAAACAATCAAGCGATATATTAATGTCTGTCTTTCTTTTTTTCTGCTCTTGTTCCTTGCCCTAGTATCCCCCTTTGGAAATTATTCTTTCTATCTAGCTCAAAACTTTAAACTGAAAGTTGTATTCCACACGCATCTTAATTATTTAAAGAAAAACATACATTCCTCTTAAACCAGAAATCTGAAGCCAAATTTGACCGTTACTCGTGTTTGTATGTGCGAACAAAGAGCATAGTACGAGAGAACGGTATTTTATTTGGATGACCACATTTGGCATTATATTTGATTACCATGGTATGTTATTCAGTACAACTGAAGAGCCTGTTGAGCCCGCAATAAAGGGTAACAGTCTCCTCCTGGCTCACTCTGTGTAAATCATTAAGTACTAAAGAGTCAACTAAGTTAAGAGTAAACATTCTTGATCCAGGGGTGGGTTTACATTCTTCTCATCAAAGCGTTTGTTGTCGCAACGGACTCGCTAGATATACACACACTGTTTGATGAAGTATCGAATCTCGGAAGGCAAACGTTGACGTCTACAGTACAATAAGGCGAGGAAGAGTCCAGCGTACTGTTGGCATGCCACCGGTCCAGCACTTGTGTCTGCCAGTCAGTTAACTTAGGCAGTTTCCATCTCCTATGTTTACAACTTCATCCTCCATCCTACACCGTGCGTATAATTAATTGTTCCAATTTCATTGACCTATGCCGATGGGTCCAGTGCTAAAAGAACCACTTGGGCAGCGAAAACCTTGCCGCCTACGTTCAAGACTCCCCCCCCCCCCTCCGTCCACCGTGGTTGCCCCAGGTATGAAGTTGACACTTTGGCTTGTTTCCGTGAGTGTCCTTGAGCCGTTCCCGGCTGCCCGCCGAATTGTTTGCTCGGACATCTTCAGCTGAACACCGTGCTCAAATCCACACAGACGACCTAGCAACTATCGGCTTTGTGTAGGGGCTCGGCGTGTGGAGCTGTTTCGGATACTGCTGAATCCTTCCCTTGTACTCTCGCCACTACCGTTGTCCACTTGGCATAGTCACTTCCTATAGGACGCCGTGCCAGCCGAAGTCTCGGCCTCCCGATGGAGGCGTGTTGCCAACATACTTTTTGGTTGTCGTTGGATATTTTACCGTTTTGGATTTTCGGCTATGCTTGGTCCAAACTTGACCTGAAAATAACTCTGTGTCGTTGTCAGTGCCAAATCAAGATCACTTCGGAAAGGGCGTGGATTAGAGAGTTTTTCCCCCTATCTCTCTTGCCCACGCCTTCCTTCGTTTGTATTTCCTGTGTGATTCCCAAGTGTGGATTTTGAATAAGAAATAGTTTTTGTAACTGTTTTGGTTTCTTGGTCACGTGACATGCTATTGTCGTATTAATCCCGGTTGTTAATCTTCTCGGCACAATACATGAAAATTGTGCTCCTCTTGGTGGACTAATTCCCCTTTTTTTCTCGACAAGGGTATTCTATAAACAGACTTACACTGGCTTGACGAGATTGTTTCTTTGCTCTGATGATATCGTGTAATATCTGGGAGAGCTCAAGGTCGAGGATATGAACTGGATTGTCGACTTAATTCACCTAGGACAAGACCTCGAGGAGCATTACCCATTTAGTCATTTGCTCTACTCTCCGAGACCTTAATATCTCTTATTATGGTTCAATTCTTGCTCGTAGGCTCTTTGCACGGTAAGATGTGATCTTTGCCTCTGTGTCTGTGTGAGAAGAGATGATAGATCTAGAGTATGTCTGTCTTTATGTGTACGTTACATGCACACTGGGGTGTAAATTAATGTGGGTACTTAGGTTCTTTTCATGAAACTTCAAAATTACTTTTACAGCTTTTTGGTCTTGTTTTGTTTTGTTTATCTTTGAAAGGGAGAGGGATGACTTTTCTGCATTTCCTTTGTTTACTTGTTTAAGAGAGGGAAAGGGGAACAGGGACTTTAAAAATATGTTTTTGTGTCTGACTTTCTATCTTGCTTTTCCCTTTTACAAAATGACCGTTGTGTTATGGGGAGGGGGGGGGGGGGGGGGGTTTTTTGGGTTTTTTTTTTGGGGGGGGTGGGGTACTTCTGCTTAGAGCTTTTCTTTTTTCTTTGTTGTTTCTGTCCGTCTTACCTTTTCACTACACTATGAGCATTCTTGTGTGGATATGTTTCTATTTAATTTACTAAAGCTCTATCATAAGAAAACTTCATAAACAGTGCGAGTCTAAGAATGGGACGAGGCTCCTAATGTACGCTGTCCTCCAGACTGTCGTTTTGTCGTGGGTATTGTGGTTGGTGTTCTCTTCCTTTATGTGTCCCTGCAATTTTGTTGTCCAAATCCGATTCCTTGGCGGGTGCTCTGGTGTGGTTTGCTTTTTACTTTTTCTTTCCTATCAAACAGTTATCGTCCTTATCTCTCCTCCTCCTTTTTGTGTTTGTTAGTCTCTAATAACGCCTCTAATCTTCGGCACTTATATGACCTTACTGTGTTGCAAGTGCCGTAAACTCTTACTATAACTTTTTTTAAAATCCGGATCCTTGCTTCAGTTTAGACTTGTAGTGTCGTAGTAAAATGTGAACCCACTGGAGGCACTGTATGTGCTCATGAAGCTTGTAGCCATGGTGTGGTCCTCGTCTTTACGAGGACTCCCACGCGTGTACAAACAAGCGGTCTGTGGGTAGGTCGTAGTTGTCTATTCCGTCTTTATTTTGTCTGTTCGTCTTGCTTTCCATGCACTAAATAACTTATTAAGTCGATGTCCTTCTCATTGCGCATCCTTTCCCCCGCCCCTCCCTAAAAAAAAACTCACCCAAAAACAACAACAACAATTCACACACAAAACGAAGAAGAAGAAGAAGAAGAAGAAGAACAACAACAACAACAAAGGCTCTTACATATATCCATGCGTCCACATACAACAATACACACCCGCATTCACACACAGAATGCACGTGCACGCATTTTTTTAAAGATCTGCACGCAACCAGATAAAATTACATTCTGGTACACACACATAGCTGACTACATAGTATGTGGTGTGTGTTTGATGGATATGTTGTTGTGGTCCTCTCCGTTCTTGTCAATTGAGCGTAACTATAAGGCCACAACCATAAACTGGTCCCGTCGAAATTTGAGTGGGTGGTTGTGCGGGTGCTCTGCTGGTGTGGTTTACTCCTTTCCTATCTAACCTCTATCGCTCTTATCTCTCCTCCTTTTTTGTGAATGTTACACATCTAATCTTTGGCACTTATAGGACCTTCTTGTGTCGCAAGTTCCGTAAAACTTTTATTGAAACTGAAAGAAGTTTGAGTATCGCGATGTCTTCGTCGTTTGTGCTTTTTGTGACAAGTGGTTGTCGGGTGGTTATTGTTTTTTCCTGTCACTGTCATTGTTATTTTTACCTTTACCCCCCCCCCCCTCCCTCCCCCATCAAATAAAAAAGGTGAACAAGTTTCTTTTTTTAAAAACCCACCCTCACGTCGTGTATTCTATTCTATGTTTACTGAACAGACAGTGCTACAAATGATGCAAGAGAGAGAATGTTTAAAGAGCAGAGATGTTCCAGAAAGTGTTACATACAATGTGTGTCCTTTCTGTCCTCGTTGTGTGAATGCGTGAGTGCACATAAACTTAAGTAACGCCACTGCCATTGTAATTGACTAAGACAAATTTCTTCCTGCAAGATGAATTAAGATTGCCATTGGTTTGTGTGTGTGCGCGTGTGCGCGCGCGCATGTATGTGCGTCTCTGCGTGTGTGTTTATGCATGTGCGCATGCGTGTTTATGTATGTGTGTGTCTGTATGTGTGTGTTTGTTTATTAACTATAAAAAATTTTTTTAAAAAATAAGATCAGTATAGTATATTTTACACAAAATTAACTGTTTATTGTGCTTTTGTTTCGTGTGCAGGTCGCGAGATGCCGGACCCAGGCCTTTTGGTGCAGAGCAAAATTGGCGGTGACCTCTCTCTGTCTTCTCACAACGCCCGCTCCCTGTCGGACTTGACTAGCACTGAGAGCCCTAAGGTACTTATTGAACTGAGCAGCGATCTTACACACCACGCACGCGCACACACACAAATTATATATATGTATATAATATATAAGTATATAACGTTTTTAAAATTTTCTTTTTTAAATATTACATGTACATGCATATATTATCTGAAGTGGTAACTTTGACTCTCCTGTGTTTAGTCGTTTCACTATGGTGACACTTAAGTCATACATTTTTAGTGGTTTGTGAATGCTTATTAAAATTCTCAATTATTTTCAATGAGTGACATCCTAGCAGATATGAATGAGTTCAAGAAGGATACTAGTCTTACATTTTCCTTGTTACATCTTCCATAATTAAATTATATGCTTGCCCCAAATGTTGTTCACTCCATTTGAAATACAGTGACTTTTCACATATCATAACGAAGTAAAATAATTGTTTTTAGGTTTTGTTTTATAACTCTCCCCCCCCCCCCCCCCCCCCCGATAATATGAATGCAATAAAAGTGACTGTCATAACACTTACTATTATCTCTCTCAAGGTGTGATAGAACTTGTTTTGACACAAATACCCTTCTACTAATCCACAGCGCTTTGATAATGAATCAAGTCTCTGCAGCAGCCCGGGTGGGCCCAAGCCCAGCTCGCAGCGGTTTGAAGAAGCCGGAGGCCTTGCAGTACCACATTCCAACATGACCAAATCTCTCTCCACGCCATCTATCCCTCAGGCCACAGAGGCTTCAGGTAAACTGCCTGAGTGTTTAGTAGGTAGATGCGGGGGAGCTACTGCTCAATAGCAGAAAGGGTACTCTGTTACAATACCACAGGTGTCGATGTCTTGTTCATGATCTTTTTTGGGGGGTTTGATTTGTTTTCCTATTGCCTGTTTATGTGATTTTTTTTTGGGGGGGGGGGGGGGGAGAGAACAGTTAATGCTAATGCGTGTGCACATGCTGGTATGTTGTTTATACGTGTGTTTAGATGTGTGTGTGTGTGCGCGCGCGTATGTGAGTGACCTGAGATTAACGTCAGCTGTATGGACCCTTCATGGTACGTGATTTTTAGATGGTACAGTACTGTCGATCAAGGAAGGTACCTCAGATTGAAGTGGAATCTAGAATTTAGACTATTCTCTGTCAGTTGGGTGTGTAGTAGTTGTATGAATCACGATTTCCTTGGCTTGAGAGGTGTTTTTGATGTTACAGTATTTGAGGGACTTTGTCCTTGTTAAAATATTCTCTTCGATGTGAATATCAGTCTTAACCTAGGTTTTAAATTACTTAAATTTGAGTGCTGTCTCTCCAACTTTGTGACTCAATCCCAAAATGGTTCCTTGCATTTCCTCAGTGTTAAGGTGGCTATTCCTCCATCACCCTTTTAACGTTTGTTTCCTTTGTGCTTGAAATATATGTAGCCCCCACCCAGTCCACACTACTTTGGTTATCTGAAATTCTCTTTACTGATGTCTTGGGCTATATTTCAGGACTTAGTTAAATCTTTTTCATGTCAAGGCTCTCAGCTGTGATTGAATAATTTTTTCAGTACGCTTTTAATGAAGAGAGAAATAATTGTAACAAATAATATGATGTTCAGGTAACTGTAATCCCCAATAAGTGGCCTTTCACCAGGTGGAAAATCTTAGTGTACATGTCTACCCAGTGTCCAGATTCTTTGGTTGGTTGTATTTGGAAAGTGCTAAGTATACATCTTCTTGTCAATTAATCACTTAAAAGTTCTGTAGTAAACACATGCAGGGTCTTTCAAACTGTTTGTTTTCCTCTGAACAGGTGACAGAGCTAAAGGTATCCGTGAGAGGCGCGAAGGAAAGCAGTGAGTATATTAGTTGCCTTTTATAACAGTAACAGTACACCGAAAAAACAACAACCCAACCCAACCCAAAACAAGGAACAATGTTGTTTTGAAGATTAGATGAAAAACTTATGAATGTTATAGATTATACATTTGCCTTCATATTTTCTAAGCATTGGTCATATGTTGGTCAAGCAGCGCACAAGCTTATGGTGTTCACAGATGTAATCTAACAGCACTGAAATTGAATGAAATAGCCATTTTTCTCATTTTTTGATTTCCATTCCTTTCAGTTTTACTATATCTAACTGGCAGAGTTTTTTCATGAGGAGAGCACCGGGTAGAGGTAGTTCATTTTCCATTTGGCACTGCATTTCATTTGATTTTCACAGTCTAATTTTTCGTTCATGCTTTAGACTTTGAATTCTCCTATCCTTTTTCTATACTTGTCGACACTGGGATGACTTCAGTAGTTGAGCGAAAAGAGATACCTTACTTGAAAAAGCTTGTTTCTATTTTGAAAAGTCACGATAAAGACAGAATGATGTTTTTAATATTCCAACACAGCTGGAAGAAGACATTATATTTATTATTGGCATTCCTTTATTTTGGAATCCAAAAGTAATTTTTAATGGGGGTCTACGGGAAATGCAACCCCCATACCTCTTGAGGTAAATTATTTAAGGGACGAAACATTTTGGACATCTGCTTCTAGACTTACTTACCCGTTAATCTAGAACTTTAGTTTTTATGCTTCCTTCGTCTTCCATTTCTCCTTCGTTAAAAAACTGCCGTTTTACTTCTTATAGTTTTTGTGACCCAGATTGAATTTTTGGCTGTTAAAACTTCAACGATGCTAAATAGCTTCAACTGAATTCAACATTGTATCGTATTGTGAAGGATTGCGCCCCAGGAGTTTCGTTGTGCTGTTATACTGGGCCTTTTGTAAGGTTATGCGATTAAAGATATAAACAAGTCGGAAGTATTTCGGCGGTTTTAGTGAGAACGTGAATTGTAGCTAGGTTTCTTCCTTTCAGCAATGATGAAGACTATCAACGCTTCCTGGAGGATTATGAGTGAGTTTCTTTCTCACCCTGACTGGCACCTAACGGTTTACTAGCTTTCACCTCATCCATACTAGCCTTTGAAATTATTATTACTTGTACTGTTATTACTACCACTACTACTTCACCTGCCTGCTCAACATATTCAAATATGTTTACCCTTTTGGCACTTACGATCCTTTGCCAATCACGTTCCATTTAACGTTTTGGTTAGAACTCAAGATCAGTGATAAGTTACTTTTGCTTCCAGGTAGTTTTTTTTGTGGTTTTCCCCCCCCAAGATTAGATAAGTACTTTTTATAAAATTAATCTCCCTTTAAAAATGTATCGGTATCTTTGGTTTACTGGGTTTTTTAAATTGTTATCTAATAGGAAGTAACTTTAACCAATTATTTCGAATTTTACGATTCAATTGGATTTTGTTGTAAACCCTTTTATTTGAATGAAAACCCAGCTTCATCCTTATTGCTTTTCCCTCCTGGTACAGTTAATTGTCCATGGATTTTTTATTGGTGTGTTTACATTTCTAGAAAGACTTAATACGTGTATTTACCACTGTATCATCTGATATACATGTAAATCCCCCACTTGGTAAATGTATACAGGAAAATAAAAAATGTTCGTTGCCCGCAACCAGACTTGATATGCTTTTGCCCCGTCAGTTGAACACACACACAGACACACACACACACACACACACACACACACACACACACACACACACACACAAAACCACCACGTACCCTCAAAAACACACACTCACACAAACACGTACACATAAACAAACAAACATACACATACAAACACACATTCACACATACACACACTCGTGCGCACACACACTCACATAATATGTTTGGGAGTGGAAGATTCTAGTAGGCCGGGTACTTGCAACATTTCCGCCAGCTCTATATTGTTTATCTGTCCTTTACTCTTCACTAACTCACTATTATCTTTTATGTATTTCTTCAAGCACGGCGTTTTTTTTCCTTCGTTGTATAAGAAATGTACGTTTATTTTAGATATGCTTATTTTCCTTTAATCATGAAAACGATGTCGGTTTTTCTTTGTTATCTATGTGTCGCATCCATTTCTGCTACTATTTTTAGTTTTTGTTCCCGTTAAAACAAATCCAAGTCAGATGAGAAAAAAACTTCTCCCAACTAATTGTGATTTCCGTCTTTAACATACTGAAACAGAACCTTGACATATTAACTAGTCAATGTGTGTTACTGTAGTGTGGAACAGAACTTAATAATAACAGTACTAAAGCTAACTTAGTGTAACCCTAGAAATTTGTTTCCAAGTTGATGTCCAAGCATGATTTGATTACAAAGCTCAAACGTGTGTAATCGTAGATTTGGAAGTTAATACAAATGTACTTAAATTGTAAACGTTACCTGGAGACTCCACGTGATGCTCGTGATTCGCGGTAAAAGTTACTTTCCACTTCTGTATTTATTCTTTTCTTAATTTTGAGGCTGTATTTCTTTACTCCTTTGCCTATTTCGTGGGCTATTGTGTTCTCCTTTTACACGTTTTAGCGGTTTAACAAGAGGAATGTGGGATGTTGATAGAGCAAAGAGAAATTGATTTTTGCGTAGATATGGTAGATGTATCAGGTGTACTTATACCTTTAAAAAAAAATAAATTTGTTATTGCATATGAAAGTAAACGTACGCAAGTGTTTGTCAGATGCCAAAAGACGTTAAATGAGAATTTAAAGTGTATCTTTGAGAGTTGAATTGTCTTTTTAAAAATTAACTCTTCAAATGCAATTATTACCTTTCCCTTCTTTGGCATCTGACTTTATCTGTTTTCGTTTGTTTTATTTATACAATAAAAATAGTGTTGTAATACATGTGAAGAAAGTTACTGCCCCGGGGCTTGCTTTCGAAGGACTTTTTTTGATATTCATATTGTGTCCATTTTGCCATGTAAATGGCCCATTTTCCCTGGCATTTTGTTATCTATTCGCTTTATTATGTGTTTAAAACAGTAGCGGTAGAGCTACAAGGCAAGTTCGATAATACATGTCATAAAAGGTTTTTAAAACTCTCTCTTCCTTTGAATGCTATATAGTTCATCCTGTAGTCTCAGTCATTTTCAAGAATGTGTCTGTTAACTGCTGGAAGACGGTCATCTCTCACGTTTTTATCCATAGCGTATAGGAAGAATGTCACTTGCTAGGAAAGAAATACTGAGCCGTGAAATCACGTTGTATTTCCACTTTCATTGGGTACGATTATGATGTACTTTAAACAATATTTCAGTTTGCGAGCCACTGTATATTTCAAAACGTTTTCTGTTCCTAAGTTCTTGTCCGACTCTTCAATGTAAGCAGACAAACGTTTTCTTATCTTTCTCTCATAAGGAATGAGGTCCCTTGAATGGGGAGATAATTCAGTAAATACTATTGAGCGGGAAGAAATTATTCGACTATGTCCCCTTATCGCCATTTTCAGAACTGGACTGAACTTCTTCGCAATGTATCTTGAATATTTATATTTTTAAAATGTATTTTCCTACACTATTTAGTTATATGTAGGAGGAGAAACCAAAAACTCCTGATTGACACATATATATGCCACACATATAGCTGTTTGTAAAGACTGCTTTTACACTTCATAATCTGCCGTCTGCCCTCATGTATTCTACCCTATGGGGCTCAGTGCTTGTTTACAGCAACAGCAACATATTACCGCTCACTATTTCATAACTAGCATGAAATCATCATCTCGTCACCACGTACTGGAATCACCATTGATTATTATCATAACCACCATTACTTCGTCATCGTCGCTATCATCGTAGTCGTCGTCATCATCTTCACGGCTAGCTCATTCATTCTCCTTACCCATTTGGCTTAACTGGTCACGTTCTGATCCGACAGTGCACAGTTTCGTCGACAAAAAGAAATCGAGGAAGAGGAAGAAGACGAAAACGCTTCACCAAACGATAAGAAAGTGGAAATTTCGTGGAAAGACTTTATCTCGGAAGAGTAAGTCGAACCTGAGTTCGGTGCTGTGTGCTGTCAGTTGGGACTGGGCCAAGCGGACTCGTGACTTTTTTCTTCTTCTTAGAACGACACTTTCTCTGTAATGTTGAATGTAGGTGTAATAAGAGGACATTTCCTTGTTTGCCGATTCTGGTACGGCCTGTACTCAAAAGTGTACGTGTAAAAATAAGGGAAAATGTTTAACTGTCTTTTTGAGCGCAAAAGCCCCAGACCAATTTCTATTCAAGACCCTTTTCTTAATGTAAAAAAAAGCAAAACAAGTGCCTCGAGTGCCGCCTACAAGTGGAAACCCGTCTGTATGTATGTAGAAGGAGATAGGCTGACAAAGACATGTTTTTACGGGACTGATGTCCGCGAGGCCCAGTTTCAGCGTACACAAGTTAACAACTCTCTGTCTGTCTCTGTCTGCCTGTCTGTCTGTTTCTCTCTCTCTCTCTCTCTCTCTCTCTCTCTCTCTCTCTCTCTCTCTCTCTCTCTCTCTCTCTCTCTCTCTCTCTCTCTCTCTCTCTCTCTCTCTCTTTATATATATATATATATATATATATATATATATATATATATATATATATATCCCCGTCATAGTACTTGCAGTAGGTGGCTTGTCTGTTTTGTGTATGTGCCTAGATAAGGTTGTGCGTTTTTCTCCCGATAAGTGTCTGTTTTCCTTTTCTCCGTATGTTGTAGTGACTGAGCTAGAAAAGCACGCCTTCCTCGTGTGGCATAGAGTACAGTGGAATTTCCCATCGTCATGTCATCGGTATCGTTTGCTTTAATATCCGTGAAGAAGATAGAGTTGCTTTGTATTGTTTTTGACAACAGGACTTACAGCCGGAAGGCCAATTTCTTTTACAACTTGTTTTGAAGCGCGTCGCGTCACAAGCTCAAACCGCAGATCCCAAGTGCTGGGATTAAAACTATCCTGGACCTCCACTGTCCTGGACTGACGGGAAAAATTGCACCCAAGTCCCACCAGCTGTGTTTACTTCGTTTGTACTCGTAAAGCAGCATTTTGAATACAATATGTGGAGCCAGTTGTCAATGAGATTGATATAAAGCAAAATTATCTGTTTCTTAGTGATGCAGTGGCTAAATTAACTGCAGAAACTGAATCGAAGACTGCTTATTTGCCAAGACCAATCTTGTCTGTGAATATTTCAATTTTATTATTTATTTTTGCTTAAGTTAAAGGCGTCAGACAGCTGTCAGTGTTCCAGATCTCAAAACATATTCTTGATTATAGAGATTAGTTATGTTTGAAATCTCTACATAGCCCCCTCCCACTTTTTGCCCGAGGTTGTTTACAATATCTCAGAACATTTATTTGCCTACCCTTTACGGGAGTTAAAACCTTTCCATCAGGAAACCCAAGGCAGGGGTGTCCGGGATTTATATTTGGATGACCAAAAAAAACAACAAAAAAACATCAACCAGACACCTAGATAGGTCTCTCTCCTCCTCTCTCTCCTCTCCTCTCTCCTCTCCCC